TTGGAAGAAGGAGAGAGGGCTGAGGAAGGGAAGAAATGTCCTGGAAAACTCACGAAAGAGATGATGCCTGAGCAAAGCTGGGAAAGCTGAACAGGGGTTTGTCGTGAGGACAGGAGCAAAGAGAATGCAAAGTAAATGGGTCCAGAGATGTGGGCAGGAAGCTGTCAGCACTTCAGTGTGAGGCAACTGGGTGCTGTGGGCAAGCGACAGAGGGTCAGGCTGAGGGGTCAGCGGGGCCGAGTCATGAATAATCTTGTGCGACACGCAAGAAGTTTTGAACTTTATCCTGCAGGCTACTGAGGATCACTAAAGGACTAGAAGCAAGAGAGCGACACAATCAGGCTTTGGCCCCCAAGAGAACACTCCAACACACCTCACGGAGGGGAACAAGTACTGACCGGGAGAAAAGGCGGAGGCTGTTGCGTGGTCAAACCAAAAATGAGTGCGGTGCGGTGCGGTGAACCTACGGTAATGGAAGCTGGAGGAGAGAAAAACAGCAGGTTCAGGACAGGTGACAAGTTAGGCTTTGAAAGTGAGGACCAAGAGAAAAGTGGGGGACTCCCACTTTTTCTAAGTTTCTAGCTAGAAAACGGAACGGATAATGGTGCAGCTCCCCAAGGTAAGGTATATAAGAAGAGAAATGGGTTTGGCGGGCAGATTCTGGGCATGTTGCATGTGGGACATCCAGGTGGAAATGTCAAACGTGCAGGAAGAAATATGGGCCTAAAACAGTGGAGATAGAGACTTGGTAGTCAGTGGTATGCTATGAGAGCTGAAACTGGGGCCTGGGTGAGATAACTCCGAAAGAGAGTGAAGGGTGAGAGGGTCAAGGACATGATTCTAGGTAACGCTAACATTTAAGGGGCAGGTAAAAAAGGGAAAGCCAGCCCTCCGCAAAAAAAACAACAACAGTAGAAGCTGTCTGTGAACAACTCTAACAGGATAACAATCTTCAGGTTAAAGGACTCCCCATCTTCAACGTGTGTCTTTGGTACAACCTTCCTAAGAGCGGCAATGAATAACTTCATCGCTTGAAAGATATACTCTAGAAGCAGGCTGCAACCAGACAGTGGATGAAGACCGTAACTAAAACTAGACAGGACACAAAGGCCATGGCTACATTTAGGACGCTGAGTCAAATCAATGTTAACTGTAGTTACAGAACTAAAACTATACCATAGGAATCGGTTAAAGTGTTAAACCGAACAGATTAAGCCTCACGAGGCATTCAGAATGCAGCAACAGAAGTGACTGCTCTGCTGAATGCTCTCCTCTGAAGCGAGAGGAGAGGAGAGGAGAGCTGCAAAATGTCTATCTCTGTTAAGGCTTCCCTCCCTAAGAAAGCCGACTTCATGCAACTGCCCAGGTTTTGGTGTCAAGGGCTGATTCCTAGCCAGGGGTTGCCAGCTGCAGAGGGCGGGGCTCTATTTTGGGCTGCCTGTCCCAGAGCCTGGCCAAGTCTGGTTTGAGCAGCATGCAGCCCCAGTGACTCACACACCCATGCAAACCGCCTGTGGCTCCGTGGCCTGGCCTCGGAATGCCAGCCTTAGGCCAGCTCCCTCCTCACCCCATTACACTGGGATAAATAAATAAAGAGCCCCGCCAGCAGCCGCACAGCCTGATGGCAACCAGATGGAGAGAGAAAGGCATGGACAGGGCCAGGGAAGGAACTCCCTCCAGTGAACTAGACTGACAGTGGGCTGTGCCAGCCCAGTCACTCTAAAGTTCCCCTTTAACACAGTTCCTACTGCCTTGCCATCCTAGTCCCTAATTCCTTGGCTCATCTCCTGAAGGTGACTTCCAGCCCCTACTCCTAGGAAACGCTCTATACGGGGCTCTTGCCCTCTATGAGGATCATGCCAGCAGCCGCCCCACCCAGCTGACTTGTACCAACATTACCAGTATCCCCCTCTAGTTAGGCCACCATCAACTGGCCCCCTTGTGCTCCCTGGAAATGAGAAATCAGAGGCTCTTGGGGGTGAGGGTGGGGGCAAAGGACTGAACACGGAAAAGTAACCGCTGTTCAATCCTTAAATATTTTTCCTGGTCTTAGTATCCTAGAAACCTCCCTGTCCTACTTCCCCCCTGCCCTATCTCTATGGCCTCTTGCCCAGCAAGAGTCCCAATGAGAGCTAGGACAAACAGACCCCAGGCACTGACCGCATGGCCCTCTGACATCAGTCCTGGCCCCCTACACCTTCATCCCTAGCTCTCTGTCCCTGGTTTGTTTATTTTCCTGTGTTGCTTATTTTGATGGCACATCCTTTCAGCTCGGTCTTGGATGACCTCATGACCCTTCTGTGTCCTGTTTGTAGGACCCTGGGCAAGCAGAGTAACTGAAAAGATGCAGTGGCCATAAGAGGTTCTGCAGCCCCGTTAGGAAGCCTTTCAGTTCTAGCAGCGATGCAGGACATTCAGTGATCCCAGAGGTCACAAGAATTCCACATTATCCTAGCCCTTAACTCTCCTCTAATGGTGTGTACAACCAAAGTAGCAAAACAAAACAGGGATAATCCTAGACAAGAAATGTAGGAGGTACCAAACATACCACTATAGCTTTATGACCTTAGGCAAGTCACTTAACCTCTCAGAGGCCCAATTTCTTAGTCTGTGAAATGGAAAGCTACAGCTACCTAGCTCTCAGATCCTTTGCAGATATAATAAAATTCTACAAGTCTATGTGGTTTGGATGTGATCCACCCAAAGCCTAAAGGACCAGTATTCTTGAAGTAGTTGGTTCCAAAACACCAATATCCTTCCTAGATTAGCAACTCGATTCTATATGCTTTCTTTTTATTTTTTAAATCCTCACCCGAGGATATGGGGTTTGTCTGTTTGTTTATTTGTTTAGAGAGATAGGAAGGGAGGGAGGGGAGAAGAAGAGAGGAAGAGAGAGAGAGATCGGTTGCCTCCCTTATGTGCCCCAACTGGGGATCAAATCCAAAACCTAGGTATGCGCCCTGACAGGCAATCGAACTAGCAACCTTTTGGTGTATGGGACGACGCTCTAACCCACTGAACTACCCGGCCAGGGCCCTATATGCTTCACATTCAGTTCTGTAGGGTTCTCCCCACCCCAATGGCATGGAAGAGATGAACCTGCAATCTTACAAATGAGAAAACAGAGGCCCTGAGAGAAGTGGTTTATCCAAAGCTGCGAAGTGAATCAGGATACGAAAACCCCAAATGTACTCTAAATCCCCTGGCATACATTTAGCAACATTTCACCCACACACTTACTGAGAACCTACTAGTTCTAGGCACTATGCTCAGTGCTGGGGATACAGAAATGCATTCAACAGGGTCCTTGCCTCAAGCAGTCTATAGCTCAGTGAAGGAGAAAGACAGTCTTACCAACATACAAACAGTAATATTACAAAGTTATAAGTAGTAAAATAAAGGTACGAATCAAGGTACAGTAGCAGGGATGAAGTGTTATGTTTACAAGGGGCGTCCTGAAAGGTCTCCTAAAGCTGAAGCTGACACTTAAGAGATGAATAGAAGCTTACAAGGTAGGTAAGTCCAGGACACTGGGCATCCCAGATAAAGGGAACTCTGTGTACAAGACATAAAGTTACAGAAAAAGCTTTTTTGGTGATTAAAAGTCATTCTATATGGCAGAAGCATAACATGCATAAAGAAAAAAATGTCAGAAACCAAGCTGGATAGCTTAGTAGGCACTAGGTCAGGAAGGGCCCCCTCTACTGAGCTAAGAGAGAGCCTTGCACTGTTTCACTAAGGGGCTAAGGCTTGAACTAGTATGTCACCTCCAGCCTATGTTAATCTTATCCCCAAACTTAGACAGGGGAAGCTGCCAGGCAGAAAAAGGGCTAGGAAATCTCTCTTTTGTAAGTCTGGGCTTAATGGTTTCTCTTTCCCCATAAAGACTTGAAACCTATTCTACTTCAGAACTTAAGAATACACGCTTTCCTTCTGCAGTTACAATTGCTTCAATAGACGGACTTAGCACTCAACTCGCATTTCTTTGTTGTTAGTGTTAAGACCCAAAGCATTAGGGGTCATTGCTCAGCCAACACACAGGGGCAGAACAGAAAGTTCCCCCTCAAGAACACCTGCTGTATGCTTAGCTCTGTGAAAAGTGCTAATTTCAGGTTCAAAAGAAGTATGAGTGACAGCCCCTATCCACAAGGAGTTTACAAATTAGCCTTGAAGACAAGATAGAAATACAAACAATTTATACATAACATAGTATTATAATAGCATTATTTATTTACATAATAAAGTACCAACTTGGGTAACATGCACAGTTAGAAAATAGGGCAATAATACGAAGGTACTAACTGTACAACCAACAAGTCCCAGAAGAGTTAGAGAAGGAGAAGATCAATATTGACTGGTATTATCAAAGGTCACTATTAATAATACTCCCCCTGTTTGGCATTTAACAGATGTTTCTTTTGGCCAAGCTCAATCCTTAGAAGGGAAACCTAGGCAGGAGCTTCTGACAGGCCACAATTATCTACTCCCCATTCATTCCTTTGCCAGTCCCCTTGTATAAACACTGTGATTTTCCACAGCCTACTGTGCCCACAAGACAGTCCCCAAATGGTAGCCCTGTGCTTTCCACCTTCCTCTACTGCGGGATGTTGAAGCAGCCTCGACAAGTAATAATAACTAGCCCCCCCACTCCACAATCCAGACCTGCGATCAGATCTCAACAAGCAAAAATTTAGCAACTGGGCAACCAAGCTTTCCATGGGTAGAAAATTCCAAATGAAATACCTAGGTACTTTAACAGAGATGTTTTATGAATGTTAATCAGCCCGTTTTTGCCTTTTACGTTCTTTTCCCTAATTTCCCCCCATCTTCTCCACGTACATCTCAAGCTTTATCAGACTCTCTATAGGCAACTTTTTCAGAGAAAGGGCTTCCCGACCATGAGAGCAATCTAACGCCCAAACACAAGTCACCACTCGGGCACCTGGGAATGGGAAGTAAAGCCAAGTTGCACAGGAGAAAGGAAATAACAAATGCTCTACCTCTACCATAAACTGTTCCAAGAAGGAATTTTCTTCAAATGGCTCTGTCTTCAACCGATCTATAATAAAGGGAAACAGAAAAGAAATGTGAGTCTTAGGACAAGCTTCCTACCTATGAGATAGAAAGGAAACAGAGTCCAACACTTCTTGGGGACAAGCACAAAGGTGCAATACCCAAAGGTGCCTAGTCCGGGGGGAGAAGGGACGAGAGTGTGCTGGCAAACAGGAGGAGGAGAGGGCGATGAGCATCAAGCGGCAGCACGTGCTCCAGGAGTCCTGACACAAAGACAAAGGTCAAGCTGAATTCTTATTCTGAAGTTGCAACGAGCTATGCAGCTTCCTAAAGTCCCAAGTTCACGTTGTCCTCCTACGATTTTGTATAGCTGTTGGCCCCTTTCCAAAGTCTTTCCTTGCCATTGCCTAGGGCATGTCTGGACTCGGTTACGGCTTCTATTGGTCAGCTGGGTGCCGGCCAGGTACTCGAGGCAGAGAGAAGCGTCACCAAGCATCAAGTCTCCAGTTTTGGTCAGTACCCAGCACCCACCCTCGGGGACGTCTCCCCCTTTTCTGAGGCACCTCTGGTTATCTGTACCATTCCCCATCCAACATCTCAAAGAATGTCCTCTCACCTCGGCTCAGTGTAGCCCCACTCTCCTGGTAGTCCTGGATCTCTAGATCCTTCATACAAAGCAATGTTGCCAGCTCCCTCACTTGGCACTGCAATGCCAGACTCATGCCCATCAGAGGACGAATCAAATGCTGGGAGACCTTTCATGGAAGAGATAGCAATTAGCCAATAAATATTGTAAAATACTCTATAACACTGTATTAGGGACTAGAAAAAATACTGAATAAATATTTTCATAGGAACTTATAGTGTCATAGGCAAGCAGTCCATTTACATGAATGCAAACATAAACATAATAATTAAATAAGTGTATAAAAGAAGTTCAAGGATTTTCTTTGAGTCATAGATTTAAAAAAATGGGAAGAATAAAGAATACTCATGAATGCCCAGACAGTGTGGCTCAGTGGTTGAGCATCTACCTAGGACCCAGGAGATTGGGGTTCGATTCCCGCTCAGGGCACATGCCCGGGTTGTGGGCTCGATCCCCAGTAGGGCGCATGCAGGAGGCAGCCGGTCAATGACTCTCATCGTTGATGTTTCTATCTCTCTCTCTCCCTCTCCCTTCCTCTCTCTGAAATCAATAAAGACATATTAAAAAAAAAAAAAAGGTTCCTCATGAATAGATACCTGGAGCAATAATTTCAGGAGAAGGGTGTCGTGCAGCTGATAAGAGGAAAGTGCTAACTCAACTCTCAGCAGAGACTGAGAGATAGACGCAGAAGGTCCAAGTGACCTTCAAGAAATTAGATGTGGCTGCAAAACAGGATGCTAGCTGGAATATAATAGGAGACAAAAATCCACAGAAAGTAGAGAGATTTCAAAGTCGAATCTGACCCAGACGCTAATGAAGAGCCATTTCAGGGCTGATGATGGCCCAGAATGAGCCCAGAGTTTCCATCTGTTCCCACCCATGCAGCAGAGACTAAGGCCATTTTTGTAACAGAAGCAAGCCAGTCATCAAGAGACCAGCCTACTGGTGGGAAATAAACCACCCACACACACACCTTGCTCTTAACCAGAGGTAAGCAGTCACAAGCATAGCCATCCTGCAGTGCAGCTAGGATGATGTTCTCATACGATACTGTACAGCTATACAAAATTACCATTTAATTCACCTGTGCAAAGTGTCCATTAGTCTTTGAAAGATGAAAGCCTTAGCCAAAGAAAATAACTAAAATCAATAATCTATTTGTAGCTCGGGGATGTTATCAGAGTTTCTTTCCCTTCCCGCCAGAGATGAACTGAAGGAGGCACTAAGAAGAAATGCCCTAGACCAGAGGTCAGCAAACATTTTCTGTAAGGGCCAGAGAGTCAATATTTTCCGTTCTGCGGCCCATACAGTCCCTGTCGCAATACTCAACTCTGCTTTTGTAGCATGAAAGCAGCCACAGACAACATGTAATAAATGAGGGTGGCTGAGTTCCAATAAAACTTTACACAAATAGGCAGCAAGCCAGAGTTGGCCTGCTGGCCATAGTACACCAACCCTGGCCCTCGATCTAAAACAGGACTTTTAGACAAGGTACCCCACACAGGCTTGAGGTAAGGAAACGGTCCTAGAGTGCCCTAGATGTGCAAGCCAGACTCACCTTGATCAGAATCAGAAGTCTGAACTCTTCAGACTTTTGTTTTTGTTTGCCTTTAATTTTCTAGTAAAACTTACTACTAAAAACTCCAATTGTATTTGGCTCAAACTGAGAGGAAAGAACTTTTTTCCACATTTCTCTGATGGGAGAGGGGAGGTTAGGGATTAGTGGCAGCACCAGGGCCCAATAAATGCAGGGCTACTGGCACAAAGTGGAAGGGCGAGAAATCAAGTTCACCTATAGATACCAGTCACCTCTTTCCACCACACAGCATACCCCAACTGGTACTGTCTGCCAGCTCAGATCCTTAGGATAAACTTAAGCTTCTAGGAACTACTGTCCAGAATGCAGCAGAAGTTCTGCTTTGGGAAAATGTATCTGCTCTAGACCCAACCCTCTTTCCTAGGAATTGTTTTTGGTAACTTTGGTCATGTTCAAGGTAGATCAGGAAGAAAATCAGGTGACTAGCTGTATGAAAGCCGGTCAATGTTTGGTAGGTTGAATTAAAAGTAATTGCACTTGCTAACTAAGCAACATCACCATCCATTTGGTGACAGTCCTCAAATAACAGAAACTCTTAAAGTTAATTAACCAGCCTCTCTCTAGGAGGCTACCTTAATAGCAATTTCTTTGAGTGGCACTAAAAATTACAACATGAGACATGATAAGAAACAGTTGTTAATCAATGCCATTTCTAATTAAACACAGTGACGCTATACCAGGCACCTGAAATTATCTATCAGACTCCAGTGTCTATATAGCAAACAACAAAAAAAGCATTTTATCAGTAAATATTTTAACTTCTAAAATATTTCATAGGCTTGGGTTACATCACTGTGAATCATTGGGGTATAACTCACTTCAAAGTTAGATGAACACTAACTTAGATCAGTTAATTAGAACAAGGCATTGCGGCTGAAGGAAAGGATTTCAAAGCAAATCCACAGACACTACGAGGAAAAATCTTGAAATGCTTTTGGAGGGCAGGGGCACACCCACCCACCCCCTTCACTTACAGACAGCAATACAGGAAGAAATGCAGTTCAACAAGTCATTCAATAAATACCTACTGTGTGCCTAATACATGCTCTAATCCCATGAGGCCTATGCCCTCAAAGAGTTAAGGTCAGGAAGTGTGGTGGATACAGAAGCAGGAGTTGACAGTCTCCAAAGGAAAAGCTACTTCTAGTTTCCTGCAATGTCTTCAGATCCATCACAGAGATGTTCACTAGTCATAGGCAGGAGAGCAGAATGGCGGTTATCGATCGCAACACGAATCGTACCAGGTTTGGATATAGTGAAAACGGTAGCAGACTGGGAATTAGGAAACCTCAATTCCAGTTCTGGCTCTGAGAGTACCTAGATGTAAAAATGGCTTAATCCCAAGCACTTTCATGGTCCCAATTCTTTCTAAAAATAAAAATTATGAAGTTGGAGTATTTGCTCTCACAGGTCCACTATAATGCTAAGGGTAAGTAATATTCCATGTCTTCTTACTTAATCCTCATAACTCCATAGTAAGGCTGTGATTGGTATCTCTACTTTACAGATAAAGAAACTGAGACTCATAAAAATTCAGTAACTTATCCTAGGTAATGTAAGCAGTCAAAGTGGAGAAGCTGAGTTACAAATTCAGGTCTGCTGGTTCTGAAGCCTGTGGTCTTTGCTCTTTCTACTACCAAAAAAGCCTTTGCATGTGAGTCCTAGGAATTATAAAATGGCCAAAGAGGTGACAAAGTTGAAAGTCAAAATATGGAATATCAAGAATTACATTAGAAAAAAATATATAAACAACAACAAAAAGAATTACATTAGATACTAGAAAGAATACACAGTGGAAAGAAGGAGAAGATAAGAGAAGTTGGCCAGAAGTGGAAATTGACTCAGTGTTGGAAAGCAGAGACCCAAAGCTTTATATATCCCATAATATCCTGCAGAGACTTAAGAACTATTGAATTATTAATGTGAATACAGTATCTTGTAAAGGGTGTGGGAAAACAGGTACTCTCCTGTATAACTAGGAGTCATGCTGCATAATCTCTCTACAAGACAATTTGGCATTATGTTAGCAAAATTGGAGATGCAAATGTTCCTTGACTCCGCTATTCCACTTTAGGAATTTACCCACACATTTACACACAGAAAATGTAAATACAAGGATATTCACTAAATATAACAACAAAAGAATGGGAACAACTTAAGTGTCTACTAGTAGCGTAACAATTAAACATATGTTGATATCTTATTTAAATAAAACACTATGTTGTCATTAAAATATTAAGGCAGGTCTTCTAAAGGTTTTGTGATGAATAATTTCTAAGTTCTATGCAAGTTACTGAACAGTGTGAATAGCATGCTGCCATTTGTGAAAACACATACATATAACCAGATATTTGATTGTGTGAATATATACATACATACGTCTATAAGAGCTTTCTTTAAGAATTCACAAGAAGCTGGTATCAGTAGTTGCTTTAGAGAACGAAAATGAGGGACTGGGAAAGGGGGTTGAAAGAAGACCTATTTTTTTCAATGTATACCCTTAAATGTCTGAAATGTTTGTCTTTTCTTTCATGAATTACTCATTCAAAAAAATTTAAAACTATCACCAGAGTGAGTAACAAACAAAAATATGACTGTGTGACCTCACAGACACACACATGAGCTTGAAATAGTATCCACCTACATCCTTGCCAGTGTCCATTGGCTCTAACTTTTTCCCTATAAAGCCTCCTCAGGTTCCGGGATTTCCCTGGGATGACATTCTTCTTCTTGTAAAAATAATCACTTTATCTTACATTAAAGCATAACCATTAATCAATTGTTCAACACTCACTTCTCCACACAGCCAACCAGGACTCATTCCACTCTGTCTGTTTTCTTACTGCAGCTCCCCAATTAGAGGAACTTGCCTAGAATAGTTTTTTCTTTACATACTATTTTCAATTATAATATCATTATTGTTTTGAAAGAAAAAAACTATTAGAGCTCATCAGTGTCCAAGGAGAACTGCCTTCCCAATCTCACTATTCTGAGTTTCTAAGGGCTGTGTGAGGCAAAATGAGACTGGCTATTATTCTGCTTCCTAAAGGCAGCCCAAATATTGTCGGCTCAGAGCAAGCATTATTAAGGAAACAGTGCCCCCTGGTGTTACTAAGGAAAAGTTACAGGGGTTTTGAACAAAATAGGTCAGTGCTATATATGCAAGCAGGTGGAAAATTTCATAAGAATTTCAATTAAAATCAACAAATATGAGTGACTATTATCTGTTAAGCACTGTTGATGGGCCTTAGAAATTCAGAGTTGAATTATATATAGTTCTCCAAACACTCAAGTCTAGCTTTACTGGGTTCCAGATCAAAATAAAAAACAGAGAACAGTTTCTCAAAAGGCACTTTGTTGTATTCACTCTATTGATGCCAAAGTACCTCTGGGAAACTAAAGAAGGGAGATAGGAAATGATGCCCACTTGTCAGATCCTTTTACTGATAAACCTACACCCTTAGTCTTACATAGAAGACCCCCCCTCCTCTAAGGCTACTGGCTGAAACATGTTCTGTTTACATGGAAGTGAAGGAGAGATCAGCAGCATCAATGTCTGCAAACTAATTCTTTTTTTTTTTTTTTAATATATCTATTGATTTCAGAGAGAGGAAAGGAGAGAGACAGACAGACAGACAGAAACGTCAATGATGAGAGTGTCATTGGGGATTAAGCCCGCAAACCCAGGCATGTGCCCTGACCGGGAATCGAACCCTGATCACCTGGATCCTAGGTTGACACTCAACCGCTGAGCCACGCCCGGCTGGGCGCAAACTAATTCTTAATGTCCACTCTCAAATAACCAATTTCTAATAAAAGCTCTTGGGGTGTAGCTACAAGTGAGCAGAGGACATGATCCCCCTAGTCCCTGAAAATGGGCTCTCAAGTCAGACCTATCTGCAAGTCAAATTCCAGTTGATTCATTTATAAGCTGGAAACCTTTGAACAAATTACCATCAATGTCAGTTTGCTACTCTGAAACACAGGGAAAATAATAGCCATCTTACAGGACAACTGTAAGGATTAAATGATGAGGTAATGTTCAGAAAGGTACCTAACACAGGTACATACTCTACCCTGTTGCCAGAGTGATCTGGATAAATTACAAATTGGATCACACTTAAAGTTTTTCAATGAATCCATGTTTCCTTTGGGATAAAATCCAAACTCACTAGAACCCTTCAATCTAGCCACTGCCTACCTTATTTCTCAACTCCCTGTAGTCACGACGTTCCCCCAATTGCCCCCCACTAAAACTTTTCCAGGCCTCTCAAAATGCACTCTTGCCTAGAATGACCTCTTTATTTTCTCCCAGTTAGTTCCTACTCATCTTCAAAATTCAGCTCAGAAACTATCTCTTCAAGAAGGTTTGTCAGATCTTCAATCACCCTGGGCTTACCTCGATCAAAGAATTTACCATACTTTATCCTGTTACCTGTCTGTCTTCTCACTAGATTATGAACTCCAGGAATAGGCTACGTTGCCTTAGATCTGGACACCCAACAATTGGCCATAGTAGATGCTTAATAAATGTTGAATAAAGATACACAATGAAGTGTGTAGACCCAAACTCTGCTCCCTTTGCAAGGAAAGGATGTACCAGTCAAGAATCCCTTTACCCTCTGTCTAGACAAGGAAAGTTTTCAAATTGGAGAATTTCAAATGGAGTTTCAAAAACGTAAGAGCACCTAAAGTTTCACCGCAAAGCAGCTAGCAGTCCCCTTCCCTACCCCATACTTGAATTTCACTTACCAGGGAAGGGCTAGCTAGAATGCAGTGAAAATTCCAATAGAAGGGGAGACCAGAGAGCTCACTCCGTACCCGTAGTATCAGTGCCTCCGCCACACGATCACAGGAGAAGGTAGCTTTTCCAGGGCAAACAATGTCCTTCAACAGAGGGCGAAGCAGATCATCCAAATGACAGAGAAAAGCCTCAGGGGGAGCAGTCAGGCGCTTGTTCAGCTCCTAAAAAGACAGCAAGGATTGTACAGAGTGGGGGTGCTCAAAGGAAACTGACTCCTTCATAAGTAACAGCAAAAGAAAACTGTGGTTAACATGAAGACAGTGGGCATGAAAAGAGAGATCAACCGGCCTACTTCACAATTCTGCCTTGTACTGTATGCACTACAGAAACTAACACACAGACACACACAGACACACACAGCCATATGGAAAGATCCCAGGGCTATAGGTAGAAGTGCAGGACATTGATTAGAACTGTCTCAATCTGACTCAACCTTCCTTGACAACTGGCAGGCTAGCAAGCTGGTTGGTATTAATGCCCCCTGACCTTCACTAGGAAAGAAATTATATCCATTACCACAACACAGCAACAATGCCCTTCACACTTACCTTGCCTCGCTGGCTGACCACACTAGCATCCACCTGTTCATGCCACACCTCATGAAGATCTGAAACCAGCAAGGCATAGCCTTGCTTGGTGACATAAGCCTTAACCAAGAGGGAGTTTTCGGCAAGCTGTAGCCATGCCCACGGCTGCATCAACAGGCCTTGCTCCAGTTCCTCCATCTGCAGGAAAGTCTTAATTTAGCAGTGTCCCAGGGTACCATAGGCCTCGGGGTGGGGGGACCACCACACAGTTCAATATCAAATAAGTCTCATGAAACTCCTCCCTAATAAAACAGAAAGCATGGATTTACATTCTACCCCTCATCCCCCCACTTTCCCACCCCCAGTATATAACCAACTAAGCACAAACCTTAGTAACTCTTGTCCACTAAAAATCTATTTAGAATTTTGAGGGATCTTTCCCCCATATTAAGTTCCTAGAGGGCATGAAATATCTTTCTTCTATAGTGTTTAAGCCTCAGCATATTGGTATTAGTATTTCTGCTTTCTAATAATATAACTTGATGTGGAAACCTAAACCATTCTTGTTGCATATTTATCAAATTCCTAAGAAATATGTCAGTGTTATCCTTTCCCAGAACTTCTAGAAGAGAAGGAATAGTTCTTGTCTCATAAAACATCATAAATCATAAGTGTCATCAGAGGAAATTCACATTAGCCGATCCTTATCTAAAAACAAAACTCTGGAAGCTCTCAGAATTTCAAAAATATCTCTCTCTATATATATCTATATATATATCTATATATTCTCTAAACAGCTATATATATTCCATAAATATATATATGACAAATACAATATATAATAATATAATAAACAATAAATATATAATAACAGAAATATATATTCCCTAAAACAGATTCTTAATCTAGAATCTATGTATGTGAATCCTCTGGAATTGCACGCAAAATTTGTGTACATGCACATACTCATTTGGGGAGAAGCAATCTGCAGCTGTTGACAGATTCTCAAAGGAATCAATGACACACAAATAAAGAGCTAATAAACACTGTCCAGAGCAAACAGGAAAGCCCAAATTCCATTTCAAGAAGAACCTGAAAGTCTAAGAAGTCATGAATACAAGACAGAGTACATCGCAGAGGCAGAGATGATGAATTAACATCCACTTCGCTTGCCCCCCAAATCCCCACCCAAGGCACTGCCATTAATGAGACCACGCCCTGCTGCACATCCTGGAACTACTGGAAACCAGCTTTTCTACTTCAACAGTTCAACTTGTAGCCTTAACCTAGTAGATATTCAGAAACTATGGCTACCTGACAAGAAGTCTGATTTTTCCTGTGGTTTAAAAAAAGGGGGGAGTGTTATAATTTCCTTCTCTATTTCAGTATATAAATACGAAGTGCAGAGGGCGGAGGCATCTCAGAATATAAAAAAAATTCCTTGGATTTCATTAACAAAGTTATCCTTGTTTGTTCCAGTCATTTCCATCTCAGTCTAAGCCATTCTTCCAACCATAACTTGTTTTTGAAGCACAGCCTTGTAACATAATTTAGAGTCAGTAGACAGGTGAAATATAAATATACATTGTGATTTTTATTAGCAGCAGTCTCAAAACCTTGTTTGTCGAATGGTCAGTCATTCGGTCACATTTCCAACCTTGCTTTTCCTACTGGGAAGAGCAGCCCTTGGAACGATTAAGCTAATCCTCCGCCAAAGGTCACAGAGTTCACCGCCAAAGGTCACAGTCCCAAGTGAAGTCGCCAAGCCTTTCTCCCCCTTATAGGCACCACCAAGCGTGTACTCTGATTCACTAAAATCGGGTTGATTATCCAGGCCCATCACATCAGAAAGCCCGGAAGCTCAAGACCATCAAGTTGTATGGATGCGGGGGTTTTGTTGTTTTGTTTTGGGGGTGGAGGCGCAGTTTAAAGTGTGGCCGGGGTCAACAGGCCCCATCGCAAGGTCTGACACTCAGAACCAGACAAGGGGTGAGCTGCAGCCTGAGGCCTCTCTACCCCAACCTTTTTCTTTTGTTCTTCAAGGCAGCCTTTAACCTTCACGTTTACCAGAGTCACCCGTTTATTATTCTTGAATGAAGTAGGGGTGCGCCGAGCGCCAAGAACGAGGTAGGGTCACCGGAGAACCCGGTCCGCACCAAGCCCCGCCCCTAAGCCGTGAGGCCCTTTCCGCGCAGTTCCTCCGCCACCCTGCAGAGGGCAGCAAGGCCCTAGGGACCCTCCGGGCGGGACCGCGCCCGGTCCCTCGAGGAGGGGACAAACCCTCGCTCCCGTGACCACAGCCCCACCCCGGGAGCCCCGCCTGGCGTCGTTCCCATCAGCCCTCGCTAAAAGGGCCTTAGCCCTCAGCCGTTGCATTTCTACAGCCCTGGCCGCACCGCGGCGCAGCTCGGGACCCCTCAGGGGGTAACAGAGCCGACCACCCGCAGCTTTGTGCACCGAGCAGCCCACGGAGCAGCAGCCCACAGGCCCCGCCTCGCAGCCGGGAGGCGGTCTGCGCACGCGCGGCCCC